CTGAGTTGATTTAAACTTTTATCTACACTGAATTGTTAGCCTTTCAGCCTAATCAAGTGACCCAAGCAGAGGGACAGAGAACAAAATCTCCATATCCACACCCAGAGTTGCCGCTTTTTTAAAAGACTGAAAAATGAAGATTAGTTAGGGGAATTGGTCAAAATTGTGTCAGAGAAAGTGTGATATGTTTACGCAGTGGAGTTTTTGAGATGTTGATGCAAGAAGACAGCCTGCCTTTGTGGCAGCTGGAGGAGAGAAGTGGGAGGAAACAAGTTTAATGTAAAGATGCATACATATTCCATAATATATTATCGTGAAAATGTTCTTTTTCAATATTATTTGGGCTGGGGATCATTTTTATTCTGTTTTGCTTATATTAAAATATAACATAGTGACATGATTTTGAAAATAACTAGTAAAAGAGAATAAAATAATCCTGTATGGGATAGCATAATTTTATTACTGAGCTAGGATTAACTTCTAAATGGGTAATGTATGAGTTCAAACAAACTGGAATCATTTTGAAGAAAAGCTATTTCACAATCTTATTTATTGAGTGTGTTGGGGTGTTGTTGTTTTTTGGTAAAACTAATTTACACTCATTAGACTCAGTTTAGAACAGAGATCTTTATTTCTACAAAATGAATTAAACAATAACCAAAAGGTTCTCTCATATGTCTTTATGTAGAGCTTACACTGACTGAAATGTTTATCTTGGTGTAATCTTAGTGCAATTTTAAAACAGATATGTTTCATCAGTTAACAATCAAAATTCAAAGAACCTCATTTAAATTCCTATCTTTAAAATAATACTTGCTTGGTTTTAAACTACATTAAATGAAACTTTATTTCAAACAATATAACTTATCAGTTTTTAAAGATGGGTTTAATTTAGAATGGTGGTCAGGGAAATCAATAAAATTTAGTCTTGGAAGTGTGGTAACCCTGCATGCATTATTTTATATACCACTCATGTTCCCTCATATTTGCTTAAAATGCCCCAAATGTTATTTTTCCTGATAGGGGAGTTATCCCTGCCTCTTGAGCATTTCGGTTGCCCTTGTCTCGAAATATTTTGTATTACAGCACTTGGCTGGAAACACTGAAAATGCCTGTTAGTGGAAAGATTTCTGGGTAGCTGGACTAGATCTCTCTAGCAGAGGATTCTGAGAACCTCACCAGACTATGAACAGTTTCAAATTTTTCTCCTATCTAATCTAGCATTTGGTTTGCAACAATGAGTAGCAAAATCCTCTTTTGAAACTTTAAAAACCAGATATGAAGGCAACAGGATTTCCCCACTTTTAGACCCCTGTTTGTTCAGAAAAATGTTGCCTCTAGGAATGAATGCCCTATTTGAACTGTCATGACTAATGGGGGGGTGGTCTTTCATAACTAAACTTGGAATGGAATAGATAGGAGTATAGAACAATTTAAGGTGTTGTAGTACAGGGCTTAAGGTATTGGCAGGGGCATCACTAGGGGTGTGTGGGCCACACCAGGTGACACCCTAAGAGGGGGTGACACCATTGCTCCCCAAACATCTGCCTTTTGGAAGAAATGAGCTGTGCCTACATCCCTTTAAAACACTGAAGAGATTATGTGAGTGGAGTAAGGCTCAGTAGCAAGAGAAAGGAGAGGCCGCAGTTAGTTTGTGTGTGGTGTGTGTATAATATATAACACATATTTATTTTAAAAGTTAATTTTTAAAATAAGAAAAACATCACATCTTATTGAATTTCCACTTTAACCACATGAAATAATGTACATGTAAATACATTTAGGCTGTGCATATGATTTTGCAATTTTAAAGATATAAGTTTAATTTTGCTAGTTTATGTCACAACTATTGCCATTACATTCAGTGATGTATAGAAATTACAATTTATAAGTAATATTAGTACAAAAAATATTACTAAGGATTCTGTATGGTGTGGTATAGGAGGAGGTCAACGGATGACACTGACCCTGAAGACACCACTAGGCACTGTACCAGGGAGCTAAAATTTAATGGGAGGGAATGCACTTCCAATTTCTTGCTCAGATTGTCTGCTACCAAACTGCTGTATATCTCCTCAGTTTTTTTGTCTCAGAGCTTGGACACTGCTACTTAGACCTTGTAAGTCAGAGATACTGAATTTACGGCCTTCAGATACTGCTGAACTGCAACTTTAGTCAGCACAGCCAAGTTGTGGCAGTTGCAACATGATCCAACAAGCTTTTCCTTATCCATATTGTAGAAGTCTACAATATCAAATTGTCAAATTCCTTTCCAGACCATTGCTTTATGAGTAGCTTTGTCTAACACTGCATTTTTTAACTATGTAATGTTATTGTTTGGAAAGGGACACAGATGGCATCTTGTTCTTCAATAGATGATGTTTTAACCATGAATGTGCCCCCACCTACTGAACTCACTGTGGAAGCTGGGAGAGATGCA